GCTTATTTTTGAGGAAACAGGGTAGTTGCGGTAGAGTTAAAGGGACGTGGTGGCTCAGTGACTAAGATGTTCAGTTAGGTCGGCAGTTCGGCGGTTCGACTCCTTAGCACCGTGTAACAGAGGGAGCTCCCGTGACTTGTCCCAGCTTCTGCCAACCTAGCAGTTAGCCTACACATAAAAATGCAAGTAGAAAAATAGGAACCACCTTTGGTGGGAAGGTAACAGCGTTCCGTGCGCCTTTGGCGTTGAGTCACGCCGGCCTCATGACCACGGAGACGTCTTCGGACAGCGCTGGCTCTTTGGCTTTGAAACGGAGATGATCACCAACGCCCCCTAGAGTCTCGGGAACGACTAGCACAAATGTGCGAGGGAAACCTTTACCTTATTAGTTAACTACATTCTTGTGTGTAGGCTTGAAATAATAAACCTCTTACACTGCAACGTAACATTAGGTCCTGCAATCCCAAGAACAAGAGGTGGCCTTAGCCCCTAATTCAGGTAGTCCTTGACCACAGTTGAGCACGAAGTTTCCGTCCCTACGTGAAACAGTCGTTAAGTGAGCTCTGTCCCGTTTTAACGTTTTTCTTGCCACAGTCGTTACGTGAATTCTCAGTGCCGTCTTCAATTCGCATGTTCACTAAAAAAAAAGAATGTTAAGTCAAGGACTTGCTGTCGTTTTCTTTACGGTTCTTCACCTAGAGCCATGATGGCGAACCCAAGGCACGCATGCCACAGGTGATATGCAGCGCCCTCTCTGCGGGCATATGACCCCAGCTCAGCTCCACCACATGCCTCCCACCGGCCGTGCATGCGCGGGGGGAGGGTGCACATGCGGGAGACGCATGTGCAGGGGGGTCATACGCGCGAGGGCGGAGAGGTAATGTGAGAGGGGCGGAGGTACTCCCCCGCCCCCCTACGGCCCATTTTTGGTCCCAGGAGGCTGCAGGGGAGGCCTACTAGGCCCAAAATGGGGCACCAGGGTGTGTCTGCAGCACCCCCCCCCCATTTTTTTATCCCAGGAGGATGCAGTGAGGCCTACTAGGCCCAAAACGGTGCAGTGTGTGTGTGATCTCTCCCCCCTCCCACATCCCATTTTTACTAGGTCCAAAACGAGGTGCAGGGGTGTGTGTAGTGTGTGTAGCACACACACACACCCCATTTTTCATGCAGGGAGGCCTACTAGGCCCACAGTGGGGCTTGGGGGTCTGTGATTCCCTCCCATAACCCATTCTTCATCCCAGGAGGATGCAGGGAGGCCTACTAGGCCCAAAACAGGGCAGTGTGTGTGTGTGTGTGATCTCTCCCCTCCTCCCACAGCCCATTTTTTACTAGGTCCAAAACGGGGTGCAGGGGTGTGCGTAGTGCCCCCCATTTTTCATGCAGGGAGGCCTACTAGGCCCAAAATGGGACCTGGGGGTCTGTGATTCCCTCGCATGACCCATTTTTCATCCCAGGAGGATGCAGGGAGGCCTACTAGGCCCAAAACGGGTCGCGGGGGTGTGTGGTGCCCTCCCCCGGCATCCCATTTTTGGTTCCCGGAGCATGCAGGGAGGCCTACTAGGCCCAAAACAGGGCATGGGGTGTGTGTGTGATCTCTCCCCTCCCCACAGCCCATTTTTTTACTAGGGCCAAAACGGGGTGCAGGAGTGTGTGTAGTGCCCCCCATTTTTCATGCAGGCCCAAAATGGGGTGTGGGAGGGCGGAGGGTGTGGCCCATCGCATCTTCTGAATGTGAGAACGTCCCAGGGTTCTTCTCCCGGAAGCCCCGTCCCAGTGAGATTGGACCAGCTCTTGGAGCCTGGTCCAAGGGTTCCTTCTACCTTGATCTGTGTTTTTTGGGGGGTGAGAAATCCAGGGTTGTTTCTACGGGGGAGGCTGGGTGCCAACCACCCCACGGCAGCTGCCCGTAACTCCCCCCGTGTCCTCAGCAGCAACCCAATTCTGCTTGTGTCCATCAGACTGCCAGTGCGAAGGCGAAGACAAGCGCATCCCTCTCCTTCAAGAGGTCTTTGAGGCCTTTCCCCACACGCCCGTCAATGTCGACATCAAGGTGAATAATGACCGGCTGATTAAAAAGGCAAGTCCTCTCTCCTCCTTCCACCTCCATCCCCTTTAGGTCCTCCTTGCTTCTGGTTGGGCCAAGGGTGGCTTTCAAGTGAGGACAGCAGTGGCCGGGTTCCTGAGTGGTGGTCAGGCAGGGGAACTCCGTGTGGCGTCGGGAAGGGCACCCGGCCAATAAATGCTCAGCTCCATCCAGAGTCGCTCCAACTCTTATCTTGAATTAAGGGGTTACAAAGTTGTTGTGGCCCAGCAGGAGCCGTTGGAGCTGCCACCAGACTCCGACAGTGAGGGGCCCTATGAGTCAGCTCTGGAGGACGCCGAGGACGCTGGACAAGGTTCCAACTCCGAGCAGGGCGCAGAGAGGCTGGTTGGCCACCAGGAGGCACCTGAGCCTTGGATCAGTGGGGAGGAGACAAGGGAGAGTGATCCGGACACCAGCAGTGAGTTGTTCCTGGATGCACGCCATTGAAGAGCTAATCGGCATCAGGAAC